CATAGAACGATCATCACAGAACGATCATCACATAGAACATCATCACAGAGAANGAGCGGTCTGGATGACGTAAAGCAGAGCGTCTGTTAGACCCTCGCACTCCCTCATCCTTCTCCGGGCCTCCTCACCTGCAGAACTCACATTCCTGTAACACACACACACACACACACACACACACACACACACACACACACACACACACACACACACACACACACACAAACACACACACTTTATCAATAAACAATCAACCTGAAGTCTTAATATGAAGCAAATCTTCAGAATATCCTGCAAAGTAACACCCACAACTTGAATATTCAAGTAGTTTCACACAAGTGTAACCTCTCATATGTGTATGCGTTACTGTGTACATATGCCTGTTAGAGTGAGATGAAAGAGAGAGATTCTATACGAGTGTAATGCCCTTTAAATGTCAGACTATTCAAGTTGGCTAGGAGATGTGTGCCCTCGGTGTCAGTGAGAAATGGCACCAACTTTTAAAACTCCATTAGCTGCACTAGTTTTCCCAGATCCTTAAACAACCCACACTATTTTAGCCAGATGAATTGGGCCATGCAAAGTCACTTTAATAAAAACAAAAGAAATGTATGTTTCTGTAGCCAAACCTAATGCCATAAACACGACTGCAAATAAACTCTAATGTTGCTCCATGTCTGTCATAATGTGTTGAAAATAAGTAGGCAACTGCTAGCTATCAAAGTCATATCAACTTTATGAATGTTTTTGGTAATAATAGTTGCGAGAGTTGAGAGGAACATACATTTTAGTATGTTCGCTGTTGGTACAAAATTAGACCACAAACCTTCAACACTTTTAGTTTATAATGGACAACAAGGAGAAAGTGTCACACGTTCATACACGTCACGTTCATGAACAAATAATGTTTTATAAATTCATTCATATTACGTTGAACCATTGAGAAAAACTACTTTTGGCCCCGTTTGGCTATTCAAGTGCATAATGTCAAGGATAATAATGTGAACAGTTCTCATTCATTGTACTTGTTACCATAGCATACTCCCCCTCGGTCATTCACTGAAGCACTTATTATATTACGGCAGCTCTGAATGGCATGGCAGTGATTATGCATGCATCAGGACCCTCCACCTTTAAATGTGGTTGCTCATCATTCAATAACCTCTTACCTCGCTTCAGTGGGCAAGGCCAACTAGCTACACTGTGAACATATCAGAGCAGAAACCTTCGCCTTGGGGCGCAAGTTCCTCTAAATGCTATGTGCACGAGTAAAGTTTCAAACATAGCCTACATCTTGTTTGTTCTGCGTATCTTGAACTTTAACATTTAGTAGGAAATAGTACTCAGAGAGCATACAGATTCCTGTAAAGGCTAATGGTGCAATTGCATGATATTTTGGTGTACCCATTATCTTTAAACGCTAAGGTTTAAGCTGTTATGTAGAACGAGAAAGCTGGCTCAGTCATCGGCGTCAAACTGGACACTTTTGAAGCTGTGGTGGAGAGGAGGAGTCTGAACAAACTGTTGTCAATCATGGATAACCCCGCCAACCCTCTCCACCAGCAGCTGGACAGACAGCGGAGGTCCTTTTCCTTCTCCTTAACCCAATTTGTACAACGGCTATTTGCACTATTATAATGTGTATTTAATCCAATGTCTTATCTATTGTGAATTTGTGTAAACTTGCTCCTAGTATCAAGTTTTATTTTAAATATGTATTCTTACTATATACACTTGCCGCCAATGTACATTTTTAAATGTATTATATTTATATCTTATTGTACCTTTTAAAATGTTTTAACTCATGTAACTGTTATGTTTGACACTGTTGCTGGAACAAACTAATTTCCCAATTTGGGATAAATATAGTATAAATCTATCCATCAATTAACTATCTATCTACAGAGGTGGGAAGAGGTGGGAAGTAGTGGAGTACAAATACTTCGTAACTAGACTTAAGTACATTTTTTCTGGTATCAGTACTTTACTCAACTACTTATTTTTCTGGCGACTTTTTACTTTGACTTCTTACATTTTTAACACAAATACCTGCACTTTCTACTTCTTACATTTTCAAAACAGGCTCGTTACTTTAGTTTTATATGCGGACACCTCAAATAACATGAGTTTTTCTTTTACGTTAATAGGTAGTTCCCAGCTGAGAACACTTTTTCAGATTATTCCGACATCACATGAGTTCAGCACAATATTGCGATGTTAAGGAAAATATGTGTATCTGCACTGTGATTCAGATCCAAAACCCGGCCGATTTTTCCCTAATCCTGTTGACAGACAGCCAACAACCTAACCTAATAGTGGAGTTCAATGTAAGTAATAAACAAGAAGAAGACCTCCAAATCAAGCAGAATAAAGAATAATAAAGAATACATCTGAATTAAAGCCCTTGTTATGCAATTTTCAAACACATTTTTTATTTAATTAGGGTAAACTAAGAGACTGGATCTGAAGCTGTGTTCACTGCGCTCTCTCACCCACGCAGATCATTCAAAACGTAATGAGGAAAGATCTGATAAATTAAAATCCCCTGTCACATAATAACACACCCGTTGCCTTATTATGTGACAGAAAGAGTTGACACTGCACACTCTTAGGGCTTTTAGTTAGATGGGGAAAAAATAAATGCTTGAATTGGATGTCATTTTAGCTTTCAATAAAACAGGTTATATCTTTGTAGGTAGATTGCATACTGGTGTAGCTTAATGGAGTAAAGATGCATTTTGGATGCATTTACATATTTGTAATGTTTTTTAATTAGTTTGTAAGTACAGTTAGTAATAAACCTTTATTAGTTGCTGTCGTATTTGTGCTACATCTGCAAATTATTCTTATTCAGTTCTGGCAGTACAAGTTTCAGCACTTCCTGTTGGTTGGCACAACAGCATATGCACACACGGACAGTGCAACCAGCCGTGAGTAAGCAGAGAAAACATGTTTGTGTGAAAGTGAGAGACAGCAGGGCAGAGACTCGGTGAGACAGAAGAAGAAAAGGGAAAAAATGAGGGATAATATGATGGAGAGAGAAGAAATGGAGTAATACAATGAGATGGTGACGGAGCAAGGGAGGGGGAATGAGAAGGCCAGGAGGATAATGGGAAATAGAAAGAGAGACAGAGAGCAGGTGGCCGGCGATATACCAAACCCGCCATGAAATATTCAATCTTTAATCAGACTCCCAGCATTCCTTAACGAGGCGTGAGAAAGATGAATTAGCCCTTCGAGTTGAGAGAGCTGATCCACACAAAGCTATCTCATGCAACACACACACACACACACACACACACACACACACACACACACACACACACACACACACACACACACACACACACACACACACACACACACAGCCCATTGGTAAAACTGACAGAGGAATGCTGCTTAAATAAAACACACTTATTTGTTTGATTGTAAATTGTCAATATTATGTCAGCCGGCTTGTCTCTGTTTGAAATATTTACGAACAGATATTTCATCACGCAGTCCTGAAAGTTTTGGAAAGCACCTCACCAATACAAATTGCATATGTATAAATATCTTATGAAACACTATATCTACTATTAAGGAACCAAGTAGTTATCTTCAGTTTTAGCCGGAGTGTTTTTATGGACATATTGTTGTTGTTATAAACTAACCAATCAGTCGTAATGTGACATCCCGCAGGCACCATTTTCAATCCATTTTATTTTCACGCTATGAAAATGACAATTCCTAATTCAGCCAACAAAGCTCTGGATCTCTAATGAAGATAACACATCATACAGATGTGTTTTTGGGCATTACATTTCTGGACAATAAAATTAAAACATATTCAATCCTATTTAAAAATGTTTGATATTTCATACTTTAATGGAATATTTCCATCTGACTTTTACTTAATTTTCCAGAGCACGGGAGGTCTGAAATGAAGACTAGACAAGTTGAGATACAAAAACAATATTATGATGGTTTCTTGAAGATGAAATGCTAGAAAGCATTTAGAAAATATAACTTTTTTCGTGCTGCTACTACATGTAATCATGTGACCAATTGTGTGAACATCTGTCATGTCTCACCTGTTTCAACTTCCCTAAATAACATTTAAAACACACATTCCATTTTATAGTCACTGTTCTGCTTTTTAAATTTCCAACGTGCTGGAGTGGGGCGTCATAACAACAACAACAACAAATATGTGTCATAGTCTTACTACTTCCACTCTGCACTGTATGACTAGCATCATGTCTCAAGAGAAAACCCAAAGCCACATTAGCTCTGAAGCCAAGATCTGAGTCATATTTACAGCTAAGTCTGTCAGTTCTCTGTGTGTTATATAAACATCACAGAATCCTAACTAAAAATAGACTTATTTCACTGTTTGAATGGGGTTGATAATAGCAGCTTGTAAACAATAAAGCATCTCAGCAAAGAGAGTGAATATGTTCCGACAACAAAAAGATAAATCAAGGTGCAGTAAACACAAAGGTGGCTTGGCAGGCAACCTTTATCACAATACCAAGCACCCGCCTCTGGCAAGAAACCACGTTCAAGGGAAAAGAAAAGAGGTGATATAAAAATAACAAGAGCAGACATTGCTGTGGCCTACAGCTTTTGATGAGGAAGGAGGTGAGTTTTGATGCTTAACTTTATTATTAACTATTTTATTTATAGAGCAACTAATTACAATACAAATCACACTAAAAATCATTCCATATTGTATTGATTATGTTGATGGATATG